AATGTATGTGAAATACAGCACAGATATTGACCCCAGGAGGTCAAGGTCTGCACTGAACTCTTTTGAAGCTCTGAGGATGAAGATAGATCAAAGGAGATGCCGAAGTTACTGAATAACCATCATTAATCAGTTTCCACACTGAGTGACTTAGGTTTCATAATACACTATTATAAACCAGAATGTTTGTCATGTATCACAGTGTCTCTTTATTTTTGCTATTATTTTACCCTTATAAAATACAGTGACACATTATGGATGTTTACCTTGCATTTATTGCATATTAATACATTTCCCCATTTATGAGTATATATAAAAGCCCTCTTTTGAATAAATTTGTAGAAGTCAAACATTTTAATGTATGTAGAAATGGGGATCACCTGAGAGAGAAAGGAAATGCATTAGTATTTACATGGGAAAAAAGAGAATTAACTGAAGAGCAAAGATATGCTAGGTGGCATGCCCATCTTTTGTTGCTGGAACACAGAAGCTTAAAGGCAGCCAGAGGGTCATTAAAACTCTTTGAACTAGAAATCTGTGACTACATTGGTCCATAGCAGAGTTCCAAGGTCAATGGCTAAGGCGGCTCTAATCCAAGATGGAATAGTCAGTTACAGGCCTGTTGGCCTGAGAGACACAATATCCTTTCCTTTATCTCCAAGCTTTTTATTATTGTGTGTGCCTAAACTTCACATGGGAATCTCATTCAGATTCTGATAACTCTCAGAAAATAAAAGTTAGGATCACATTAAAATAAATAAACACACAGTTTAACAACTTTAGTGTATGTCCAGAGTATATTGGAAGTTGCCTTTTAGACTCTGTGTATGGTGAGCCATAGTGCATAGTGTGTGAACCAGTTCCTCATCTGGAACCACCCATGACTTAACCCCTTCCTAGAAAAGATTAACAAAAATAATTGGAGGAGTCCAGGCCAGTGCAATGTTCTCCTCAGTCCACCCCTAAGTAGTCACAGAATAACAGACGACACTGGGGAGAAGGTCAGTGGTATATTGCTTACCTTTGTCTGAAACCTGTTTTAATGTGTCTAGTTCTTAACAACCATTGAAACTAATGGATATGAGCTGGCCTGTGGTGGGTTGCTTAAAGCCTCCAGAGAAATCTATGCTGCCGTGTCCTGCCAACTTCTTAGGACTTCAGGTCACCTCTTAGAATTTTGCTTTCCACATAGAAAAATCCAAGGGGGGAACAATGCTAATCAACTCCTGACACATAAACTTTAAGTGATGAGCCCTTCCAGACACACTGGGATTATGGGGCAGCTCTAAGGTCTGCCATGGGGTTTTGGTAGATTGAGCTTCACTGACCACCCTTTCTACAAAGTCAATAGAAAGCAGGGACAGCAGCAGAAGTTGTTACCAGGAATAGGCAAGTTTTAGATGTGGCCTCATCTCTTTGCCTGATTCTCAAACAGGGGTTAAATTTAACATGTACTGGTCACAATCCATTCCTATGTTTCATGTTTCCTTAAGGAAACTCGAGATAGTCTTCACAATCCAAATGCCAGAGATGTTTTCCAGGTTTTAAAGTCAGCCAGCTATGGCAAAGGCAGCATTGTTAGTAAGTGTATGTGTGTGTTGCTAAATAATTGGACACTGTCCTGACTTCTTAGGACAACACTGACATTACTCTATGAGGACAGAGATCGGGGAGAGAATTTTAGTTTTTCTCTAAAGAACAAAAGTCTTTCCTGATAAAAAGGAGGACCCTAAAATCTAGTCAATATTTTTCAGGGTATATCATTCCCTTGATCTGATTCCAATTCTGCCCCAAATTCCTTGTCCTCGGTATAAGGCTCAACACCCTGCCACTTAGCAAATGAATGCTAATGGAGATCCCTTTATTAATTTTGGGTCTCCAGAAATTCCATTGCAGGCAAAACTTTGGTCTTGGGGAAGAACTTGTGACCCCTGGGGATTGTGGTGGGGTATTTGGGTGTTAGTACCCAGCTCTGTTTTTGGTGTTGACATTGGTCTGGTCAGGACAAGAGCAGACTTGTCAAATGACCTTGGTGAGAAGAACACATCCTGCCTCTTCCAGCTACCTCTCTTAAGCCCTCAGCCCTCTCCCCCCAACTTATGGCCAGTTGAACTGATGCTGTAATTGTTTGCAATACCCATCTCTTTTTCTTATGATAAGGCTGTCTGTTAGGACATCTTCTTAGTATATTAAGAAAGAGAAGTGGCTAGCAGCCATACAGAGTGAAAGTTGACTGTCTCTGGTCATGTTCCTGCCTTTGATCTGGAGTGGGATGTTAAACATTCCCATTTGAGGCTCATCCATAGATTCCACTAAGCAGTTCTGACACTAGTCTACTGGGCTTCGTGAGAGATGCATTACACACTGGGTGGGTACAAAAGAGACACAGATTTTCCCACATTTCTAGAAGCTGGCTGTCCAAGATCACAAGGCAAAAGGGTTAATTTTTGTCCAATCTGTTTCTTTTGGATAGAGTACACAACCTTTTCATTACCTCTACACACAGTAGGCCTCCTATAAGAGTTTACCCTTGCTGTCCTTTATGTTCACATTTCCTCTTATGATAAAATGGCACCAGTCAAATTGGATTGGGATCCATCCTAAAACCTCATGTTATTGCTATAGCTTCTTTAAAGGGTTTATATCCAGTTGCAGCCACATTATAATATTTGGGAGCAAAGCTTCAGCATGTAAATTCTAAGTGGTAGTGACTTACATCCATATCAAATACAAGAGTGAATTAACTAAGGAACTATAGACTCACTGCCTTACTATAAGTTTCTCCAAAGGCATCTCTAACATAAGCATTCATGTCCATTTTGAAAGATGGACAGTTGTGGGATAATAATGAGATAGAGTCATTGAAGAGTCAATGAGATAGTCAATGAAGAGTTCATTATGATATCAGTTAGCCTAATGTATGACCAGAGTTAATGCTGGCAGAAAATTCAGGGGAAAAAGCATGTAATTTCAGTACTGTAGCCAAGGTAGGGGGAATGGAGGTTGATAGTCCAATTCCAAGCAGTCAATGTCTGAGAGATGCTATAGTGGGTGGAGGAACTACTCATCCCCTACCATCATACATGAAATGATTTTACATTAAGGAAAACCCTCAAGAGGGGAGGAGTTCCTGGCAGGAGGAAGTATTCTGAGAGTCATGGAATTATATGGCTCCAGGGTGCCAGCCAATCACCGATACCATCTACCATAGCTTCTCATTCTGGGTTCTAGGAAAGAACCCTGTGAGAATATCTGTATATGTGCTTAGGAGAGAGAGAGGCTGGAGATCACATTGACAAAGTCCTTTATGGTACTGTATACAAATCATTTGTGTCCTATATGCTTTTGTTAGGGATAACTGCCCCCAAAATTATAATTACTGAAGCAGATGTTTAGTTCTTGCTCACAGGAAGTAAAAAATGTGGTTATAGATCATGGAGTACCTATTCTCCAGACACAGATCAGGAAATCAGGGTCCATGTCTTCTCCCTTAGAGACTTAGAAACATTGCCTCTGGTTTGTTGTAGGGAAAGTCTGGTATGGAGAAGGATGAGTTATCGCATCACTTCACTAGCCTGAAGACAACCTGACACTGGTTGTAACTCCTACCCCATCTTATATCTCCAGTTAAGTATATGAAAGATTGAGCCAGGTGAGTCCTGGCTTCTAAAGCTTTCCCCAGCAAAAAGTCTATGCTGGGAGACAGAGAACAGGAATATTGAGAGGTTTCCTGTCACCTAGTCATTGCCTCTTCACTGACTAGGGTTCCTGTCTAGTCGCCCTCCTGATAGACCCACACAGCATGAGCTGTCACTTGTGTTTTTATCTTAGCCATTCTGATAAGTGTAAGATAGACTCTTGGACAACCAGAGAGCCTACATGGAACTGACCTAGGGCCACTGCATATATGTTACAGTTATGTAGCTTGGTCATTGTGTAAGATTCCTAACAGCAAGAACAGGGGTTGTCTCTATGTTACCTACTTTTGGCACCCATTCCTCCTACTATATTTCTTCATCTAGTCTTAATAGAAGAGGAGGTCCTAATCTTACTGCAACTTGATATACCATAGCTGACTGATATCCATAGGAGGCCTACCTGTATCTGAAGAAAAACAGTGAAGGATGAATGGATGGGGGGAGCTGCCAATTGGTCTTGAAACTAGAAAAGTACATGACAGAAGTCAGTGATGAGAGAAAAAAGAAGAATGAAGTCCAAAGGGGGACTCTTAGTGGAAAAAGGATGATCTGATAGGAGCAGAGGGATGAAGAAGAATAGAAAAAGACCAATAATAACAAGTCTGCATCAGGCATCATAACAAAACCCAGTGCTATGGAGGCTAACTTGAGTGCTACTAAAACAAAAGTATATTGTTCACATATATAAAAACACCTATCCCCAAACCTCTCCTCTGAAAGGTTGTGGGTTCTCTGACCATGACGGTATATGACAGAAAGCTAGACCACTTGACAGGAACCTCCCAAAGATAATTTGAGTGGAAGGAAAAATGATGAAATTTAAGATTTTTACCAAAATGATACCCTAAATCTCTACCTCTACTGTGCATCCTCACCTCCCTAGTGATCAACTGTGTGACTGTGAGGGACTCTGAACCACTCCAGCTTGATGTGAGGACCCAAGACCTGAAAGTCCTCTGCCTGAAGCTGTCTGCAGAGCTGGTGCCTGGGTTTGGGAAATAAGAGAACTCTGAGGCCAGAGTGCTACAGGGAGAAATGCTTATGCAAGAAGTTGTTTAACCAGTTTGTGGGCTCTTGCAATCTAAGTGTAGAGTCCAGACAATTTAGATAAAGAAGTGTAAACTCTGGGTGATCTCCTGGTAAACTTTCAGAGCTCTTTGGAATAGAAAGAGTATCCTTTTCTGGGATTATACAGTTAACTGGGAGGAATTTTCAAGAAGTCTACAGGACTGGGGCAGGATCCGTGTAGACCCCTTTATCACAGGCTGGAGACCCTGCTGTCCCCCAAGCCTGTAGCCTTCTACTATGTGCCTCTATACTCTGATCCTGGTATCTCTTGCAACTTTCACAGCAGAGGGTGAGTCTTTTTTAATACAGATATTGGGGTAGTGAGGGCACATTTCAAACCACTAATACCTGGTAGAGGTGGGCAGAGGCGAGCATAGTGCGAAGCTGTAACAGACCTCTTTCTGTAGCAATTTTCACCCTTTAGACAAGTAGCCCAAACCAACTACTGAAGGGAGTGGACATGCTGAGTGAGAGAAGGCAAACACTCTGAGACCTAGGATCACATGACAGGTACAGAGGGCAATGAGATAGCCCCATGTATTACAAAGGGGATTAGGAAAGCTGTTTGTTTTCTCTTTAATTATTAGTCTACATTTTGCCTGATCATGGAACAAAGCTTAGTAGAGAATTCTGAATCTCAGCTCAGTACTTCTAAACCCTTCGTCTTCAGGCAAAGTCCTCAGCTAGGTAAACTTGTGTTAGCCCATCTCTGAAGAAGTGTTGACACTTGTACCTTTCCCACTGGGTCACTGGGAGGATGCCTTAGGGGGTTCTTTCCACAGTACTTTGATGGGACTAGGCTAGAGGAGGTGTGGGAGGGGGGTAGATAATGAGGCAGGGATTTAAAATGAAGTGTATCTGGCTGAGGAGCAGGCTCACTTGCAAAGCACTTGCTGTGCAAACACAAGAACTTGATTTTGAAGCCCCAGAATCCACATGTAGCCAGCAGTGGTAGCATGCATCTGCAATCCCAGGGATCCTATGCCAAGATGGCATGTAGAGACAGGAGAATTCCCCGAAGCTCATGGGCCAAGTAGCCTACTGTACACCATGGCAAACCAAAGGAACCATTTTTCATACAGGCTAGAAGGTGAGGAACAATGCCTAAGATGATCGATCCTCTGACCTCCACATGTGCACAATAGCACACACACACACACACACACACACACACACACACACACACCTTCACTTACACACACACACTTGTGCACATGCATGCACATATATCATACATATTCACACTTTAAAATGTTAATAAAATGCATCGCATTAATTGGAGGTGTGGTCAGGTCAACACATTAGAGATAATGCCCAGTGAAATGACACATTGATAATCTTGGCTCCCAAAGGAAGGGTTCACCATCTGGGTGGGGTGTGACCAGAGAAAAGCAGCAGCGTCAGGAGGTGGAAGAATGGGCAAACTATAGACAGGTGCTTCCTAGAGGTATCTTCTGTAGGCATGGGTGAAACACTAATTTAAAACATTTTAAGGACCAGCATATAATGTACTCCACAGGTTCTTGTGTGTGCTTTTATTTGGTTGCAAGTTTTTGTTGTTGTTATTGTTTCCTTTTATGTGTAGTTTACTTTGTTTTCTTGGTTTGGGGGGATTCATTGTTGTATTGGGCTTTGGCTTTTTGAGAAAGAACTCGAAGTTAAGCAGAAAGGAAGGGGTGAGGAACTACAAGGACTTGGGAAAAGGGAAGAATAGGGTCAAAATATATTTCAATTAAAATGTTTTAAATAATACAAAAAGAAAAATTTCAAAGGATTCTTGGTCTCAGACTATCTTAACTGTCTTCTGTGTGATCATAAGTGACTACAATAGATAAGATGGTAGCACAAGATATAAGATATAAAGAAAGGAGGTTGGTGCCGTAGTGGTTCTGGATTTTGTGCACCCTAGGAACCACAGTTCCCACGGGGTCATGAAAGTCATATGTGTCAAAGCACCAAATGAACAGATTAAATCCATGGTTGATACAAGACTATTTTAGATCTCAGTGTTTATCTGTAACATCTTACCAAATGAGAAAGTGAGATTCATGAAGTCATGCATTCTCCTAACACCACCTTAGTCTATCTGGGGCTCCTGAATTCAGAGCTGGTGTTTGGCTATGACGGCCTAGAATCTGTTTAGATTTTATCTTCTCTCTAGACACGTGACACTGTGAGAAGCCAAGAGCTAAGAGCAAAGCAAAGAAAGGACCCAGTTTTGAGTGGGGCATTCTTTGCTGCTGGTCACCCATTTCCATCTTAGGATTGCATAAGCTGTTTGCAAGTCCATGTTGCTCTCCTGTTAAGTGAGCACATTTAAAATCAACTAGTAAAATTTCCTTGAGAAATAATTTGAAGGAAGTGGAATGCAGCTTGGGCACACAGTGACTGCTCATGGTGTCGATACGTGCACATTCCACATAATATAAATGGGAACTATTATAAGTAGCCTTGTTCACAACTCCCATCTTAGCCAAAAATTTTTGCTGAGTCATTTGGTTTCCACACATTCTGTCTCAGTGCAGGGTTGATATTGGCTTAATGGAGGCCACACCGAAATCTGTACAGACTTCCTTCACGTCTTTGAAGCACTCAGCATCTTTATCAACCTGTTCCCCTTCTCCTTGCATTTCTTCAGGGCTGTGCCCTCATCCTCTTGCCCTATAGTAGACATTCTTACCCCCAGCTGTGGCCATCTGTGTGTTCACATTCAGCACTCCCATCACTTCACAGTGGCCCTGGCAGAGTAGTCTCACACACACACACACACACACACACACACACACACACACACACACACAGCCACATATGCTGACCTTCAGCTGCCTTTTACTGACTTGCATTTCTTAGTGCTCCTGTCTTATAACATCATCTTATGACATCTTACCAGCTTCCCAATAGCACCTGCCTTGAACTAGTACCAAGTCTTCTTCCTTTCCCATGACTTCCACACTGGGCAGGGATCAGTTCTTCCTTTCTTATTTATATATCTGTATTTACCTATTTCATGTTTCTCCTAGTTATAAAAAATAATCAGTGTCTAGTACAAAGAACTTCACACTGCCAAGATCCACAGGCATCCTAGTTAGCCTTCTAAAATAAGACTGTTTTCTTCATCATTGTCTGAGGTGAGAAGATACTGAGGCCTACAGGGTTGTGCCAATATATTCAGGCCTCATACTTAGAAAGTGGAGAAGCCCTTTAAATAAATATTCAGTTCTGATCTTTCCCTCTGATGTGTCCTCATTTTCTCCATCTTCCACAGGACACACACCCTCACCTCCTGTGGTGGACACTGTTCATGGCAAAGTCCTGGGGAAGTATGTGAGCTTAGAAGGATTCGCACAGCCTGTGGCCGTCTTCCTGGGAGTCCCCTTTGCCAAGCCTCCTCTTGGATCCCTGAGGTTTGCTCCACCACAGCCTCCAGAGCCCTGGAACTTTGTGAAGAATGCCACCTCCTACCCACCTATGTAAGCCTCTGGGGTGGGCCTGGGTCTCTTTTGGAGGAAAGCTGTCCTGGAGTGACATAGGAAAGAGTCAACACAGTACTCTCTTTGTTCTGGAGTCAAAAGCACTGTGGAGGACTTCAGCTTCCCAAGTCTCCACTCTGCTTTGCAGAGGGTCTTTTTCTCTGTGTGCCTGTAGCATGTGTGTGTTTCCTGACCCCTAACAAAAGCCTTTCAACTGTTGGAGAGCAAAAACAAAAATGGACACCATGAAAACTTGAAACATTTAGAACTGATGAGCTTTCTAGATCCCTTTCTCCACCAGGCACTATTTAACTCCACTGTTTTACAGTTTGGTTATTTATGTAACGACTACTTCGTACAGGAAAGTTAGGAAACACACAATGCAATGCAAAGCAGAGGAAAGTAAACCCACACGGGATGCTACAAAAGACAACTGTTACCACCATCTGACACGTGTACAGTCCCTTGTCTTTCGCAGGCAACAGTCTGCAGCTCTGGTAAGAGCCTGTTTCACTTATGAATATGCTGACATTAACTTCTGCCTTTGAATAGCACAGTGTTACTTTCAATTGTCTTAATTTCAGCATCGCACTGCATTACACTCACTCAGTCTTTAACATCTGGTGACAAGGGTGGCTTTGGTATAGTTGATGTACACATATGATCATGTATTGAAACTAAATTATGCCATACATTCATGAGTTCTTTAGGATGAGTCCCAAGAAGTAGTATTATTTAATCAAATGCTATAAACCTATTCTTAAATTTTCTCCAAAAAAAGTATCCATCAATAAACTCTGCCTAAACCTTAGGCTTATTGAAATAATTTTATCCTTCATTTGGGGAAACAAATAATATATAATAATCACAGCAATGATAAATGTAAGTTCAGCCAGGAGGTGGTGGCACATGCCGTTAATCCCAGCACTCAGGAGGCAGAGGCAGGTGGATTTCTGCGAGTTTGGGAGCAGCCTGGTCTACAGAGTGAGTTCCAGGACAGCCAAGGCTATACAGAGAAACCCTGTCTTCAAAACCAAAAAATAAAAAAAGCACCCAGGCTATGTCACTGCAGCAGAAAAAGAAGTACTGGGCATGTATATGAGCTTTGGTTTTCACTGGAAACCCTATCTCAGAAATGATATAATGTGATAAAATAATAAATAAATGTAATCTTAATTTTCTGTTGAAATACTGTTGAAATGAACCAATTCCTCTTCTGACATTTGAGTTACTGCTTTTATGACTATTACTCCTTACCCTCCATAATGTAGGAAAAGTTACCAGAATGAACTTTTTGTTGCCTACTTCTGCTACCTGTGTCATCCTGACATTTGATGGCCTCAGCTGCTGCCTCTAAACACCAGAGGCAATACTGGGCTCCTGGGTCCATGGAGATCTGGGGGCAAGGCTTGTGATGCACTGGGAATATAAGCACTGCACAGCTGGGTTGCTGATATGGTGAGATGTTTAATCTGTGTTGTGGTTTCCCTGTGCCTTGTTTTCTCAACTACAAAATGATCATGAAACTGGAGCCTACCCCTGGAGCTGACCTCAGGCATTAATGAGTGAGCATATAATATAACCAGTGCCTGGCTCAATGGAAGACTTCAATAACATTGGTAATTCTAATCTTGAATGGCCTTTGAGGCCTTGTATGAGTGTAACAGTGATGGCTTCGCAACTGATGGTAGAACCTTAGCAGGCCAGGGTTGCAGAGCTCTTAGATTGACATAGCAGTGTCCTTATTGAGACCTGGCAGATTGGAGCCCAGATCAGGAAATGGCCCAAGGTCACTTAGCCTATCAGTGGGTGAAACTGACCAGGAAAGCAGGTCTCCTGAGGTTACTGATAAGACGCTGGTTGGTATACAGCTCTACCACTTGAGGGCATTTCTGTGGTTGATGGCAGTCACTCAAAGACTAGAGCATGTTCACCTGGTAGAGAAATTCAGTCTACTTTGCACCCACTGTACAAAGCCTAGCAGAGTGCAGGGAGTTCATCTCCAAGGGCAAGCCAACATATGAGCATCCATGCTGTTGGCCAGGGTAGAGCTAAGATTCCAGGAAAGGAGACACAATAAATCACTTTCCTGCTATAGGACAAGAAGACTGCAGTCCTGGAGTTCTTGTGGCATCCTGGGGTATCTCCATTCCAATATCACCCATCAGGTGATAGCAACCTACCTACAGAATTACATCTCCCCGTGCAAGGTCAGTGCCAGGTAATGTTTCCAGGTTGCACCTGGTGGAACCTCAAATGTTCTTTCTCCCCTCCCAGGTGCTCTCAAGACCCAGTGACAGGGCAGATAGTCAATGATCTCCTAACCAACAGAAAGGAGAACATTCCTCTCCAGTTTTCTGAAGACTGTCTCTACCTAAATATTTACACTCCTTCTGACTTAACAAGGAGTGACAGGCTGCCGGTAAGTTGTGGGACTTCTCCAACCTTCTGAGTTTCCGCATCTAGTTCCTCTGTGCAAACAGAAGGGCTTGAGGACAACTAGAGGGGTATCACAGGCATGAAGTGATTCTGCCCATCATAGAGGATACTTTCCTTGATTTTCCCCCAGAGACATCAGGCAGTGGTGCTTGCCTTTTGGGCGCACTGAGATCTGGGAATGTTGCTGGAGATGTACTCTTTTTGCATGAGTCTTCAAAGCAGGGAAACATTGAGTAGCTTCTCCAATCCCCTGTGCCTTTATTTCCTTATCTATGAAACTGGTGCTTGGGGAATATGGCCATACAGTTAGAATTTAATTTTCCCTGGTTTTCTGACAGGGAAAACTGAATAACTATAGTATTACTGGACATCACATTGCAGTTCCTTACCCTAGGAATCCTGGGGTCACAGAGAAGTGCAACTACTTCTGCAGCCTCCATGGCAGTGGCCCACTGCTGACACAGTAGGTTGTGTCCTGTTGTGCTGCAGATGTTGGGAAGTCATCTAGAACTGAAGATCTTAACCCTATGGTGACAAATGTTGTAGTTCTTTGGCAGTCATAGAAGTTGGGGTCTCCTTGCCCCTTAGAGTAGCTTCAAGGCTGCACTCCCTGCTCTGGGCAGGGACTAGAATTGCAGATTCCAATTTTAACTAGACATTGGGATCCCCCAGCACTACACCACTGCAAGCATTAGCTTTCAGGCCTGAATATCAGGATCCTCCAGCCTCTGACAATAGCTATTGTTCAACTCCAGTCAGGAACAAGGGTTGCTGAGACTCTGGGTCCTTAAGATAGAGCAGCTCTCTGGAGCTCTTCTGGAGCCGAGACCTGTAGTTTCTCTTCTTTGGCTTTTGTAGCCCTATTCCTCTATGAACCTCGGCTCCCCACCCTCTCTCCTCTTAACTTCTACCATTCCTCTTGTGTCTGTACTTGCTACTCTCTGAGAGTAACTAACTGCCTCTCACAGCTCTAGCCACTAACATGGCTGCCATTTCTAGGATGGTAGCTATCACTGCATTTTACTACTATTGATGCTTCTGCTGCCATTGCTAAAGTCATGGCCTCTGTTGCTGCTGGCTGTTACTGCTGTGCTGTTGGCTTCGGATGCTGCTGTCAACTTTGCTATTCTGCTGACACAGCTGTGGTTTCCCAACCTCCATAGTCCCTGCCTCTACTACTGTATTAGTTTCAGGATGCTCCTCTGGTTCTGATGCTGTTGTTTCCACTGTCATTGATTCTTCTCCTCAGCCTGCTGGACTAATGGATATCAAGATAGGCAATAGGGACAACAGTGTAGCTTAATGGTAAAGTAGCTGTCTAGATGCTCAAGGCCTTGAGTTTGATCCTCTGCATCAGAAGGAAAAACCACTAGTCAAAAAAAGGCCACTCAAGAGAAGCCTTTGGTTCACATATGCGGCCTCAGCATTGAAGAGGCTGAGGCAAAAGTAATTTGAGCAAGTTTGATGTCAGCTTGGTCTATATAGAAAGCACCAGGCCAGCCATGATTACACTATCTTTAAAAAAATCAAACCCTTATCTGAGAGCAAAAGAGAGGGAGGAGAAGGGAAGAAGAGGTTGGCGAAGGGGAAGGAGAGAGGAGGAGGAGGAAGGGAAGAAGAGAGCCCTTTTATTGGGTCTAATGTAAAGGCACAGGATAGGACTGTCATTCATTTATCCTGTTGTTTCACCCAGTGTCACCATATATGCAGTTAGACATAAAGTCTAAGAAAGCTTAATATAAGCTATTCACACAAAGTCCTCACATGAGGAGGATGGGGTGTTGGGGCGAACATAACACTAGTGGCCATGATTGTGTTTTCAGTTTAAGGAGACCTGTAAAGACAGGGCCCATGAGTCTTAGAAGATAGGTGAGAAATGATGTGTGGGACAACTCACCCCAGCTGAGGGAACTGGGGAGGCAAGGCTGCAGCAGGTACTACTGTGGCTTGGGTGATGCTCTCCTTGTGTCAACCTAGATATAGGAAACCAAGCTAGACAATCTCTATGGCCCTCCAGGAGGCTTCTAATGATATGTGTTGTTGTGTCCTTTTCAAGGTGATGGTGTGGATCCATGGAGGTGGACTAGTGTTGGGTGGGGCATCCACCTATGATGGCCTGGCCCTGTCTACCCATGAAAATGTGGTGGTGGTGGCCATTCAATACCGTCTGGGCATCTGGGGATTCTTCAGGTAGAGTTTTGAACTCTTCTCTACACACAAGCCCTCATATTAATCTGTTTTCTCATTATGTAACAGAACCCCAGATCTTGTGATATTTATAAGGAAAATATTTATTGAGTTTCGAATTTAAGAGGCTTAACATCCAGGATATGTTTCTTCTGGTTGAAGTCTGGTGAGGGTCCTTATTGAGGTCAGTACAGTAGAGGGACAGAAATGGAATCTGCAGCAAGTGGAAGAGATCACATGATGAGGCACAAAGCTGTATGGGGCAGTTGGGAAGTCTTGCTCTCTTTATAACTAGCTCACTAGAAAACTAACCTTGGCCCAGTGAGCTCAACACCTCCAAGGGCAGTGTGCACAGTGGCTTAATGAGATTTCACTGGACCTCACATTTTGCAGGTTCTGTTACTATATAATCCTGTCACATGATCACATCCAAAATGTAACATCTGCTAGGTCAAAGATGCAAGGATCCAGCTCCAGTAATCCTAACCTCTGTGAAGCTCCTCCACAATGCATTCCTTTGCTTCAGTACCAGGCCTCACCTGTCTATTAGTTCTCCACTCTCTACACTTGCTTCTGAACAGATTTCTGTGCTGTTCTCTCTGATATCCCAGACATAGGTAACAGTTGATTTTAAAGCACGTTTTGCTGAGTTGTCACAGTGCTCTAGGAGGTGGATTCAGTCATGCCAAGCTTCTGATATTCCAAGCAGAAAGAACACCACCTTCCATTTCCTTTACACAGGTGCTGTCCCACCTCTTGATTGTTCAACATAAAAGCCTCAGGGACATTTGGGACTCCTCTTTTTCTTACACTCAACATCTAACCAACCAACCAATCCTTTTGGCTACACCTTCCAAACAAACTGATTCCATCTATTTCCCATCTACTCCTGGGCTTCCACTCTTACAGTTTAGAACTGGATTATTGTTATCACCTCTATTTTGTTTTTTTTAGTAAACCTGTTACCTTTAAGGCATGTATTTTCTACAGAGTGGCCAGAGTGCTGTGAGAGATACGGGTTGAAACTTATCTCATTTCTGTAGACAGTTCCCACCCACCTATAACAACAAAGAACTCTCTGCCAAGGCTCACAGTACCTGCTCTGCCTGTATTTGCTGCTAGCTACACCCACATTTTTAATCCCAGAAGTCTTTGCACCTGCTGCTTATTTTAACAGGAATAATATCTTATGATATTCATAAGCCCACGTGCTCATTTTATTCAGGTCCCTATTAACCTATTAACCACTGCTTCCAAGAGGCCTCTCTTGGTCCTGAAATCAGAAAATACCACCTGAAGTGGCAACCCCCATCCCTTCATCTTTTGTAAGCTAGTTTTATTTTTCTTCAAAGCACTTTCATTACTTCATACTAAGATTTCTTCATTCCTGCTTACTGTGCTCAGAAGTGTGAACTGAATATACTCAGAAGTTGGAGATTTTGTCTGTCTTGTTTCCTCACTAGTTCTTAGGCTACATAGTTTCTGGAAGATGAGTGTAGAGTCCCAGATAGACCATTTCTAGAGAGATGAAAGGCAGCAAAAGCATGTGCCAGGAATTCAGGGTTCACTTACTTCACTAAGAGCCCCAGCCTTGTCTCTAGCTCTGAGAATTCAGCCACCATGTGTCTACCTTCAACCTGTTTTCTTTCAGCACAGGGGATGAACACAGCTGGGGGAACTGGGGTCACTTGGACCAGGTGGCTGCACTGAGCTGGGTCCAGGACAACATTGCCAATTTTGGAGGAGACCCAGGCTCCGTGACCATCTTTGGAGAGTCAGCAGGAGGTGAAAGTGTCTCTGTCCTTGTAAGTGTCCCCGGCACAGGGCCTTATCCAGGCACAGCAGCTGCTGATAGGATCCCTTGGAGACCAGCCAGTCCAGCTGTGGGAACTTTGCTCTCAGTGTCTGGATTCAGTGTTGATACTTTTATTGCTCAGCATTAGATGGTGGAAGACTAAAAACCAAACCCTCCTTGGCTATTAGGGGCTACTTTTATGCCCCACTATAAAAAGTACCTGTTGTATATCATTTCTTTTCTCATGTAATAGAATTCTCTTTCTCTTGGCTCATCACGTCAGCATAGAATTCTCTCTTGGAAAGGAGTGTTGGCAGTAAACTACAGATAGTAAAAGGGAAGGCATCACTATTTGGCTCCAGGATAGATCTACACTTCGAGGGAACAGAAACACTGGGAGCTCATCAGAGGTGGTCTCCTGGCTTTGAAAACCCAAAAAGAAGGGCAACAGTATCTGGGACTAAGGGTCCAGTTGAGAAAGCAGAGTGAGAAAGGAGAGATGGTTGTGAGGAAGGATGGACAGACACTGCAACAGGGAGAGGTAGGACAAAAAATGTAGGTCACAGACACATTCTGATGATCTGAGGAATCTTCTTGGTATGGAGATGAGGAGCAGGAAAAACCAAGGAAATCTATGGAAACTTCTGAGAGTAATGAGTGGCCTTCAAAATCCCTGAGTATTGATCGGAATGACAACATATCACCATATTTTCAAACATGTATTAGTCACTAGCTGAATATTTAGAGGAAAATGTTTGTATTTTCTTTAGAGATAAGGAAAAGTGCAGGTAAATCCAAGGAGGACATTATGACAGGTATTTCTGTAGTATTCCTACAATTTTTATCAATCTCTACATATATCTAGCATCTGGCTTGAAGGTGATCAAATGGAGTCCAAACCCTGGTCCCACAGAGGTCTCTGAGTCACTGAGAGTATAAAGTCTCTTTTACTACTTTCCTCTGCCAGGTATTGTCTCCCTTGGCCAAGAATCTCTTCCACAGGGCCATTTCTGAAAGTGGAGTGGCCCTCACTGCAGGCCTGGTCAAGAAGAACACCAGGCCCTTGGCTGAGGTAAATTCCATGCTGGGCAGTTCCTGGGCCCTTTTATCCTCTCTCCTCATGAATCCTTTTGCCCTGGGATGAAGTTGGCATGGTTACTGGGTAGAGCTTGTTTTGGGCTCACATCTAGGCTGAGCTCTTCAAGTTCCTGAGTGATTTTGTGTGAATCCTGTTTCTTAGATGCACTGCAATCCAATACAAGTTTTGGTGTGACAGGAAGGGTTACCCTCCTGAGCACATTGCATGTATTCCTTCTTATTAAGGAGAGATGCAATTCATATGTGGGTGGTAGAAGCCATCTGTCCAGAGCATGGAGGAAGTGGATCTACACCAGACAGTAGCATTCTGGGTTCTTTTTTGTCACCATACTGTACATGGCTTCCTTTAACTCAGCCACATTCACAGTAGGGTGCTCATTTAACAAATTATTTGCTTCTGATTTTTAAGACCTGGTCTTACTCTGTAACCCCAACTGTCCTGAAACTTACCCTGTCGACAAGACTGGCATAAAACTCACAGAGATCTGCCTGCCTCTGCCTCCTAACTGCTGGGACTAAAGGTGTGTGCCAACATGCCTAACTCCACTTAACAAATTATTAAGTTAACACAGTCTCCAATATTTAAATAGTCAGTATCAAATTTCAATTAGTAACAGAGGCAACATTCGGAGGGACCCAGAACCCATACCTGCTGTATTGCATCTTTTGGGCAATGATGTACCATCTTTAGAATGTGGGTATTGGACAGAACCCTGGGCTTTATTGACAGAGATATAAATACTACTCTTGACCTTTGCTGTGCCTGTGATCTATTGAAGAAAATTGCAGTTACAGCTGGTTGCAAAAATACCACATCAGCTGCCATGGTTCACTGCCTTCGCCAGAAGACAGAGGAAGAACTGTTGGAGACCACGCTGAAATTGGTAGGTGTTCCTGTCCTAGTGTCCCCAAACTTTGTACTTTACCCCAGATGCCATCACTTCTTCTCTCCTGTAATTTTAGAGAAGCTATCTATCCAGTACATTTTCTTGCCTCTTGACAATAGTGTTAGTCTTTGAATATTATAATGATTAGTTTAATCTCTCTCTTTTTTTTCTTTTTTTTTATTAAATTATTAATATTTTCACATGTACTTTCCCTCTCCCTCTCCCTCCCCCCACCCCCATTCCTTCTCCCCCACCTCCAACCCACCCCCACCCCATCCACCCGCCACTCCCCACGCAGGGCAGGGCCCCCCACCACGGGT